GTTGAGGGGTTTAGGGTTTGAGGTTTTAGGGTTTAGGGTTTAGGGTTTCTTGAAAGCAGCTTCTAGTTTCGAGTCATATTTCAAGGCACAGGCCTTAAGGCCCTTTAGACAAAAATATATTTCCGGGCTTTCAAAGGGGCCATGATGTGCAGAGCCTGATGTGGAGCTTGGCCGCCACAGGATTTCTAGCGCAGCCCACAGCTCGCACAAAGAACAAAAAAACAAGGACGGCCAGAAAGCAGAATCAGTGCTGTAAATCCTAAACTCTCAGCCCCTGTTATATTCATCCCAAGCCCCCTAAACACTAAACCCTAAACCCCCCAAAGCTGCTTCATCAAAGCATGCTAAGCTAAGCTACACGAGCAAGACAGAAGGCAACCGTCCAACACAGTGACATGGAGAAGGTTCAGGCTCGAGGCATGTGTCGCACATTTAAGGCCCGTGCAACTCAGTTCCAGTGAATCCACCGGCATCACCTGCGACTGCGATAATGTCTCTACTCAAGAGAGCAGTCCAGAGACACGGAGAGTCAAGAAAGTCCAGTCAAGAGAACCAGGCAAGACCGAGGCCCAGGCACTCCAGAAGCTGAAGCTTCCAGAACTTGCAGGCAGAGAATGCAGGTGCCGGCAATGCAGTGGGTTTCTGGCTGCCTCAGGTGCTGCACAACATTGATTACTCTTGCTTGACCCCTAGAAAGACTTCTTTGGAACACAGGCTGAGCACAGGCGAACCTAGCCTAATCAGCATCACTCGTCACTCAACCACTGACACCTGACACCACTGAGATTCTCACCTGGACGACGATGCACTGGAAGTTTCAGAATCAGTCAGCACCTTCCACCAATCCCTGTTGCTGGCAGTGGGCACCCCACTCCGTCTAAGCGAAGCCAAGACGTCTCCGTGCATCTTTGTGAACTTGTCCACAACATCTGTACCCGAACACGCATGCAACACTTGCCGTGCACAGCTGCGGTGCCACCCTCGCAAGCAGAAGGGGCACTGGACAGTGGCTTCGGTGGCTTTCCGGCACAACGTGCATTTGCGAAAATCTTCATCCATGACACTGCCAGGCAAAGCAAGATCCTGCACATCAGTGCAGCAATCGGTAGCTAGTAGGTAGCTAGGCTAGACAAGAAGTGCTTTGTCTACAGGAGCCTACACCCCGAACGGACCCCTACCCAATCCACCCAGGTTCCAGGCCCCATCCTGACCCTGGCCCTGCCAGCCTGCCGGCCTACGGCCTACGGCCTGCAACATTGCAAATCAAAACATTGTCAAAACATAGACCAGCAGGACATGCGACATATGCATGCAGCAGACATCAGACATCAGACATCAGCCGCTGCTTGTCAAGAAGACGACTACCACTTGACTGTCTGACCTGGCCTATCCCGCCCCGGCCCCACCCCCGTCCATCCGTGGTCACAGGCCACAGGGGCTGACATGCAGGCTTGCCGGCTTGCAGGCAGAGAGCACAGCAACAAGGCAGAGTGCAATGCAGTGGGGCAATCTCAGCAAATTAAAGTGAGTTTCAAACAGTTAACACACAAGCAAACCAGAACAAAGGCTTCGGACTTCTGAACGGACACAACTGCAACGGCCTACATCCTTCATAGAAGCTTCTGCACGAGAGCACCAGCATCGCATCGACACACAGTGTGACACACATTACACACATTAAGGCTCATCCACAACCGCCGCAGAGATCAGCACCCGGCCTAGCAGGATTGACATGCATGTGAACTGTCCGAGGTAATTGCTGAGACGGCATATGCACAAACAGACAAGACATTGCCTAAGCAGAGAGCCAATGGAAAATTACTCCTCCGTCGCCAGCGATGCAGAAGTCTGCTTGGCATCATGGGAAGCAATGTTGGAAGCCATGACATCGCAAAGGGATTTCAATCGTCGGAAATGCGATGGCACCTTGTCTCTGTAAGGATCGTTTTTCTTCAGCTTCTTCACGCAAGCACCCACGTATGGCAGAAGCACATCAGCATGGTCTGCATCCAGGCAGAGTTCAGGAAATCCCATGCCCGAGCTTACACCTGTGCGAGCCATGCTTGAGTCCGGTGTGGAGAAAACAACCTTGTGTTCATCGTCCAGGAGAACCTGCCTGCCGATACGCCGTGCCAAGGGACGCCTAGGATGGCTAGGATGGTGCATGCATGCAAGCTGCAAGCCGTCACTACCGACTGACAGACATCTACATGAACCAATGAACGACCTCACTAACACTGAGTACCTGTCGCCGCCTGTCACCCACGTTGCATCTACATTTTTCACTCTACACTAACATGCTATGCTATGCAGCCATGAAAAAAACAACCAGGACAAATCGCAGACGGCACCGGGCACAGGCTGCATGCAGCAACAACACGTTGCACAAGAAGCGATGCTGCCATATATGCCATCAAGCAACTTGCTTGCAGTGTTGTACACCCAGTGAGCCCACATGATCTCTTGGGAGCTATCGCTGAACTTGCATCGAACACATTTGCAACCAGGAACTGGATCCTGTCCCCGAAGCATCACGAGGCTTATGCTGCGATCTCGGCCTGGCTCGAATTCCTTCACGTTGGAGAATTCTTTACAAGCAAGTAGCATCTGCGAGCATGAAGCTGCCCATTTAGCAAACACCTGCCCAGGCACCTCACCACGACTAGCAGCACCGCCAAATTCGTCCACCAAAGTAGCAACCCTGGCCCGGAATGAATCGTCTGCCTCATCAAAGTCTGCTTCTGACTCCGTCTCGGAATTATTACTGGGGATTTGTTCTTCTTCTGCGATGTCTCGGAGGGCACTCTGAAACACAGGGTCTCCCCGACCACCTGTTTCCAGCAAATGATCTGGCCTCCCACGGGCAGAGCCTGCTGCCAAGGACTTGTTTTGCTGCGACATGGCCCGCCTCACCAACAAAAGAAGCGCTTCTTCTTCCAGGTCACCGGGGGTCAGCTGGGCCTGTGCACCAAGTCGCTCTGCTGTTTCTCGTACCATGTCTGAGGATGGAATACCTGCTGCTTTCGACGGACCTGCTGCACCTGCTGCCACGGTTGCTTTCTTTATCTCAGCAGCAGGCAAGTCTGCTGCAGTGTCTTCGGCAAAAAGGCTAACATCTGAGTCGGACTGGTATTCTTCCTCATCTAACAGATTGCGATCATCCTGCAAGTACCTGTCTAAGGCATCTGGTGCCACATCCGATCCCTCAGTTCCATGCTCACTTCCATCTTCCAGCTCCTGATGTTGCCGTTTCGCCGAGGCAGATGACGACTTCGCCTTGCTTTTGGCTCTCCCCTTCGCCTTGCCTCGTGTGGCTTTGGCCTTTGCTCTCTTCTGGCCGCGACGGCTAGATGGTTTCGCACTTGAGGGACCCGGGCGAGGCAGCTCATCTTGTGTCATCACAAAACAAGGTTTCAGGTTCTCCAGAACAGACTCCACCCGAACCACATCTCCTCCCTGCACCGTCCCCGTCATAATCCTTTGTGCTTGATCCGGCGATAACACAACATAGCCGACATTGACAGGTTTGCCAAGGTCGAAACACTCTGCATAGAAGGTGGTCATCAGCAAAGTGGACTCTATGCAATTGTGCTCCTGGTAGTTCCACCTGAGGCAATGCCCGCCTTCCTGTTGCATGACATCGATCCTTGTGAACATGGCACTGACAGAGAACTTCTCGGCCACGGCATAGACAAGTGTGTCTCGGACCTGATGCAGTACATCCTTGTCGGTGCCGCTGCTCTGGAAAACTGCCAGCAGCATGCCACGTGGGGATTGAGATTGAGCGGTAGAAGCTTCCGTGTCCTGTGTGGTCTTGTTTTTCTTCTTGCGGTTTCCAGATACGGCAGCGGTGGCCCGCCTCCATCCCAAGTTGTATGATTTCGCCCAAGCGATGGCATCCGGTGTGGTCATGGTGCGGAAGAACTCTGCCTGTGACTGTGGAGTGTTTCGCCCAACCTCGCTCTCTGGTTGCACTCCGTCCGACCCCTCGGGAGTTTGAAGACATGGCGGGTCTGCAATGGAAGCAACGGCAGGCAATGCAGGCAAACTCAACGAAGACACATCAGTTCTAGTCGACTTCACGGCTTGCACATCCGAGATTGTCAGTATAACAGCACCGCCCTCCCCCTGTTGCCTGCACTCTACGGGTAGTGGCACAGACCAGCGGGACCTGCAACTCAAGATGGCCAATGCGGCAGTGTTGTAGCCCAGAATGGTTCTTAAGAGACCTTCGGCGGAGCTTCGGATCTTCGACCATTTCTTGCTGCGACGCATACTCCCGTCCTCGCTCAAGGCTCGTTTGATGGCCAATCGAGCAGATAAGAGCTCCAGGGAAATGTTCGGGCATCGTCGGCCAACCAACTTGATCACACTATTGATCCCCTCTATGGCCTGTGTATCAACTGGCTGCATTCGGGCGAGTGATTTCAAGAAAGCATACAAAAAACTTCCCGACTCCGAGGTCACATCGGAAAACGTCCCGTTCTCTGCCATGTGTCGAAGCTCCCGGTCGCACAGGATCCGGAGTTTCCGTGTAGAGGGATCAAGTTGTTCCGCCTGCGATCCCAAGAGCTCACGTGCGACATCTTTGCGTTTTTGCGAGAACTGTTTGGGGGCTGCCTTGATCAGCCAAAACAATTTCCATGGGAACTGTTCCAGGGGCCGTATGATGCGTCTGCGGAATGCAGCCCAGTGCATCAGCAGAATGCGAAGGGCAATGTATCTCATGTGCACAACATCAGAGTCAGACAGGCCACCTTCACTTCGCAAACAGCCAGACAAAGACATTGCTTGGGAAACTATCCCAGGCAAATTTTCAAAGAGCACTTGAAACTCTTTCGTGATCTGTTCCAGCTTCCCCGTCACAAGGTTGAACATGCACTGACCGTCGCGAGCTCCCTTCTGTACGAACAGCATGAAATGTCTCAATGGTGCTCGCAGGGTGCGGCACAAATACATCAGGCACCAGAATATACACGAGGTAATCGCCTTCATAGAACCGGAACACCACTTGCTAAGCCTGATCCTATAAGCCGCCTTGCTGTCTGCCTCGTCTTCCTCAATTGTGCCCTCGTCTTTTCCGTCCCCTGAAAGGGCAAGATCAACCGGTGACCAAACCCAAACCAAACAAAATCCTATGTGGCTTACTATGTGGCAGGGAACCCTGTTCTTAGCACCATCCTACATTACCTCCCGGACTAGGCCGGCCTGTCGCAGGAACGGACTCGCGGTCTGCCTTCATGCTCCGGGACAGCACTTGCAGCATGCACGGCTCCACCAGTGATCGGCCCCGCTCTAGGAAAAATTCTTCGGCCGTTTCCACAGACCCCCACCGCCCCGACGAGACAGATAGCGGGTATCGTCTGCCCATGTCCTGGATTTTTGAGTCTGCTGACTGCCCATGCTGGTCGTCCCAGGCTTGCATCATGTCAGCAGCCTTTTCACGCCACAGGTTTACTAATTTAGCAAGACTGGCATAGTAACCTGTAAAGCCCTTCAATGTTTCCACACTGAAGGTCTCCCCAATGAGTTGATCCACAAGTTCCAGACCCCCGCGAACAGCAGCATGAAAGACATGGAGATAGCAGTCCGAAGGAATATAGATGACTTGAGACAGTGTCTCGACATGTGAAGCCGTTCTCTTCCTCCTAGCAAGCTGGTCGGAGCCCCGGTCGGTTGTGTCGAGGTACACAATGATCGAAGGGCTAGTGCTCAGTGAGGAATCCCTGACATGCAGTGACATGCAATTTCATGTGGACTCATCGGTCAGTTGGTCAGTTGGCCTACTGATTGGATGGCCTTTGTCCTTTGTCACTAGGGCCGGCCGACATGACATGACATGACAAGAAGCACATGTTGCTCACAGGCTAACAGCGACTAACATCTTGGGTTTCTGTTCTAGGATCTCGAATCTTCACGAACTCTGCAAAAGCAAGCAGGCAATAGCCTAATAGCAGGCAAGCTGGCAGGGCAATGTGCTGCATGCAATGCAAAATCCTTGGTCCCATAGGTCCCATAGGGCCCATAGGGTGCAGGGTAGCTTAGGAGACTTGCCGTATAATGACTGCCGGGCCGACAAAACAAAACATAAGCCAGTCTCAGTCCAGCTTCTCCCTATCAAGCTCTGCAACAATGTCGGACACCGATGGCACTCCGATGGAATTCAGCTGCTTCTGCAGAATGCCAGCACAATGCTCTGCAGTGCAGCCAGAAACAACTTGCAAATCTGACCTTGATGCAGATTTCGGCAGACCACTGCAGCTACACGTGACCCTGGAACTTTAAGTCATCAGATGAATGGGAAGGGCCCGCCCGATACCTCTACAGACAATCACGGCATAATGTAGAAATACGTGACTTGCACACCCAGCCCCAGCCCAGCCCCTGCTAAGGTTAAGGCTCGCAGCCGATTCACGAACCTAGCAACTAACTCTAGCAACTAGAAAGACACATGATCAGCAGTCCCTGAGTCCCTGAATACATGCCTGATCATGATGCCGGTGTTCTGGGGACCCTGCAGACACCTTCTAACATTCAGGAATTCGTCGCAGGACTTCGGAAAATCTTTCACTGAAGATTGTACCAACCCGATCTCGGCTTCCGTGACATGCAGCTTTTCCCTTCGCCAGATAGAGGAATTCGTGGCGTCTGCTCGAACACTGATGAACAACAGGTGCCAACGCCCTGCAACATAAGCAATATCCCTCAAGTTTTCACCGTCTGCACCAACATCAATGCCTGCATCAAACTCGCTGGATTCTCGAAGCAGGGACATGGCGGTGCTCACATGGTCTCTCATGCTGGCCACCAAAGCCGCACCTGTTCTAACCTCTGCACGCAAGACAGTTGAACCGCTGAGGTCTTGCATCAAAAGAGCACCGAAGTCTGCAGCTGCCACATGTGCAATGTTGCGACGGATTCCCAATGCCAGTGTGGCCTGTGCTGTCAACCTTTTCCCTGAAGGCTTGGTGCTCAGCACAAGGGAGGAGTCGGTCTCCTTGGCACGTTGCACGTCCTCCAACTTCTTAGCTGATCGAGATTTTTGCAAGCCCGCAACTTTGATAGCTGACCGCTTCTGTTTGTTCGCGGCTACGAGCAGGTTCGACACCTTCAACAATGCTGCTGATGCCTGAGCTCCAACAACAGCCGCACGAGCATGTGTCATACCCAGGTAGTCTTGCTGCGATAACGACACCAATTGGTCTCGGCTAATCTTGCCACTGTGCCATCGCGATGCATTCTGCACAACCAACTGCGAGCTCTCTTCATTTTCAGGAACAGCAACGAGCTGGTTGCCAGGGTCAAAGCCACCCCTGTTCGGGAATCCCGTCGATCCCCCGCCAGCCGACCCGCCATGCATGGGATTGTCATCCTTACCAATGCCCTCACCATCATCGATTGTGATTGACTCGATGGACCCGATGGACACGTTTGAAGGCAACGAAGACAATGCGGCACTCGAGGATGCACGTGCTGGGGCATGGTTGTCGTTGTCGAGGGCAGAATTCACCGATTCCAAAACAACAGCATCCACATCATCCACTGCATCCACATCTTCATCTGCAATAACCTCTGCATCTTCGAAAGTATGTGCATTATAGGCTAGGTCAATGTGAGGCAAGCCAAGCGCAGGGAGCAGCACTGTCTGCACATCCGAATGTTTCAGGAAGCGGCCCATAAGCAGTGTTACCTAGGCAGGCAGACATGTGACATGTGCCATGTGCAACTGATATATCGGCATCAAGGATGCAGCGACACATCCGACACATCGCAGCAGCTCTGGTGAAAGCCCTTGCATTGCATTGCAACTTCAGCAGGCAAAGGCTGCAAAGACTCTGTGCAGGCAGTCCAAGCAAACACAGCAAACGGCTCAGGCACACCCGCAAGTTGAACCATAACCACAAGCTCATATGCTGTGGGCTAGGCTATGCACACAGCATGCACACCGCACACACACACACACACGTGCACACGCAGAGGCATATGGCAATCATGTGCAAGACTGGCAGAAATTGTCAAGCGATTCTGCAATTGCACTAATTTTGCAGCCGCCAGGCCCTGGACATAACAGCACCTACACGTGCTGTTGCTCGTCGGCGGTCTTCCCCAGAAGCTGCAAGTATGTCCGCTAGCAGAGTTTGCAGAGCATTCTTGCCGTACACCCGATGCCCCATAACATCGGTCTGGTTGGCCTTCGCCCACACACTCAATCTCCTGACACTTCTGAAACTGGCTTCAAGCCTTGGGCTGCAATATCCGAAGCACAGCCCTCCCTTGATTAGTCTCCTGGCCGCAATCGCTCGACTGATGGACATAGCCGACATAGCCTAGCTGGCTTTCTACCTGGACTTTAGATGAAATAAAGTTTATGATGAAGGATGTTTGGGTATTCGCCTGGAAACAAGTCTCCGGAATCATGCCTGCAATCAAGTTGAATGCATGGCAGCAACTGCTGAACCCAATGCTTCAGACGGGCTTTGGTAAACGAACCTACAACTCAGCAACTGATTGCGCCAAGAGCAGAGCATGCCACTCACAATGCTGCCGCGATCAAGCACCACGATCCCGAGGCGAACGAATGTATTTCTCAATAATCCGTTAACTTCGATATAATATTCCAATGAGAAAATGTCAGCCTGCTGCCCTCATAAAGATTGATTCTGTGTCGCGAAAATCTCGGTTCAAGATCTCAAGACACCCATGTTTGTAGATACAAGAATGCAGGATTCATGATCATGCAAAACCTGTTTTCAAGACGACTTGCCTGCAATATTTCATCGCCAGTTCCCGAAAAAAGGTCGATGCCGCCTCCTGGAACATAGTTTTTTTCAAGAGCCCTCCCTTGTTTTTCAGCCCTGCCCTCAAATTTGCATGCAGTACGAGAACTGCAGTCACACCATCTGGGAACCCGAACCCTGTGAATCCCACCCGGGGCA